TCAGACACACAAACACACCCATACTTTATCATTAAAATCTAAACATACATTAATTTCCCATTCTTTATTTTAACCTCAAAGTCTACCATTAATTTCTACCACCCTCAACACCTACATTCTGTCATCGTAACCTCCACGTCTACCCTGCAAACCTCTACCATCTATCTATCCCAAAACTCCGACCCTCCATTGTCAGACCTGTGTGTTCAGAAGCAGCTGGGACTCAGGTTGCCCAGTCGTCTCTGGAACTCACTGTTGTGGGTTCGAATCCCACTTCGCCCAATTATGTTTCAAGGTTTGTCAGCACCATGTCCGTGCTCGTGGGTAAACATCTGAGACTTGTATCACTTCAGGCTTTCCTCCGCCATTAAGCTGACACACCATGATGTAACTTGAATACTGTTCAAAGCAGTGTTAACTCCAACTCACTCACTCACTAACTGACTCACTCACTCACTCACTCACTCACTCACTCACTCACTCACTCACTCACTCACTCACTCACTCCAAACGCAGCACCAAGTCTCCAAGGTAACGTACAACCAGCGAGTCCTATCATGGTTCCCAGCGACTTGATTGGCTACAAACTTGATGAAGTCACTTTCTTTCACAGAAAGTTCTGTCAGTGGATGAAGAACAATTTATATTTATCTGACCAGGAAGTTAACGACAGAAACTATAGACAACTGACAGTACAGTATTCTGTGGGTCACTGATCATTTTAAGGAAATTGGTTGCAAAGTTTTGTTATGATAAACAACATGACATTAGCTAGTAGATTTGAATGGCCTCAGTTTGGCTCCATACTTGTTGTATGCTGATCTGGATTTACTTCAGGAAAACTTTGTTTTGCACATGAGTCTGTCCTAGATTTGGAGGGGTATACTAGTGGTTAAAACGATTGGTCGTCACGCCGAAGACCCAGGTCCGATTCCCTACATGGGTACATTGTGTAAAGCCCATATCTGATGTCCCCTGCTGTGATATTGCTGGAATATTCCTGAAAGTGGTGCAAAACAATAATCACTTACTCACTGTCCTAGATTTAGGGCTTACATGACTAGCATTATCCCCTTCCAACCTCAATACTTGCTCTGCTTGATGAGTTCCTGTTCAGGCTGGGTGTCGAAGGGGTGTCCATCTGTGATGGTGTAGCTGCTCCAGAGTTAAACATGGTGGCAGGGTACTGACTTTATTTTATTATCAAATCTTAAACCTAACACTTGGTGACATCACAACCTGAGGTCATGGAGAACTGATATCATCAGAGAACAGTCAGATGTTTGTGCTCTTCCCCAAGGGCTTCCGAGCAGCGCAGGCGTCTGTAGAAGAAGTCCCACCTCTAGGGCAATAGACGGAGGTATTTGGGCATGTATTCGTTACAGCAGACCCTAAACAATACTTATCTCATGAATATCTGTGCATGCTTAGTTTTCGTCTACACCCACACCATCTCCCAAAAGACGAAGATCTAAAGATCTTCCTCCTTCCTACGACCATCGCCATCAGCCCCAGAGACCACCCCAGCCCTCAGTGATGACACACTGCGTTCCCCTGTAAGAGGTTGTTACATTCTGCCTTCCACAGCCCAGCCCAACCTATCACCCAGGCCCATCCCTATGTACCAACCCTCATTCTCCCTGCCCATTCCTAGCCCAGCCCAACCTATCACCCAGGCCCATCCCTATGTACCCATCCTCATTCTCCCTGCCCCTTCCTAGCCCAGCCCAACCTATCACCCAGGCCCATCCCTATGTACCCACCTCATTCTCCCTGCCCCTTCCTAGCCCAGCCCAACCTATCACCCAGGCCCATCCCTATGTACCCACCCTCATTCTCCCTGCCCCTTCCTAGCCCAGCCCAACCTATCACCCAGGCCCATCCCTATGTACCCACCCTCATTCTCCCTGCCCCTTCCTAGCCCAGCCCAACCTATCACCCAGGCCCATCCCTATGTACCCACCCTCATTCTCCCTGCCCCTTCCTAGCCCAGCCCAACCTATCACCCAGGCCCATCCCTATGTACCCACCCTCATTCTCCCTGCCCCTTCCTAGCCCACGCCCCCTTCTATAACCCATTCCTAAATGAGTTAGGCAAACCTCCCTCCCCTACCTACCCCACCCCATCCTTAGTGAGTTAGGCCAACCTCCCTCCCTTACCTACCCCACCCCCATCCTTAGTGAGTTAGGCCAGCCTCCCTCCCCTACCTACCCCACCACATCCTAAGTGAGTTAGGCCAACCTCCCTCCCCTACCTACCCCACCACATCCTGAGTTAGGCCAGCCTCCCTCCCCTACCTACCCCACCCCCATCCTTAGTGAGTTAGGCCAGCCTCCCTCCCCTACCTACCCCATCCCCATCCTTAGTGAGTTAGGCCAGCCTCCCTCCCCTACCTACCCCATCCCCATCCTTAGTGAGTTAGGCCAGCCTCCCTCCCCTACCTACCCCACCCCCGTCCTTAGTGAGTTAGGCCAGCCTCCCTCCCCTACCTACCCCATCCCCATCCTTAGTGAGTTAGGCCAGCCTCCCTCCCCTACCTACCCCATCCCCATCCTTAGTGAGTTAGGCCAGCCTCCCTCCCCTACCTACCCCACCCCCATCCTTAGTGAGTTAGGCCAACCTCCCTCCCCTACCTACCCCACCCCCGTCCTTAGTGAGTTAGGCCAACCTCCCTCCCCTACCTACCCCATCCCCATCCTTAGTGAGTTAGGCCAGCCTCCCTCCCCTACCTACCCCACCCCCGTCCTTAGTGAGTTAGGCCAGCCTCCATCCCCTACCTACCCCACCCCCGTCCTTAGTGAGTTAGGCCAGCCTCCATCCCCTACCTACCCCACCCCCGTCCTTAGTGAGTTAGGCCAACCTCCCTCCCCTACCTACCCCACCCCCGTCCTTAGTGAGTTAGGCCAACCTCCCTCCCCTACCTACCCCACCCCCGTCCTTAGTGAGTTAGGCCAACCTCCCTCCCTTACCTACCCCACCCCCGTCCTTAGTGAGTTAGGCCAGCCTCCATCCCCTACCTACCTCCCTCGTCCTATAACCGCCTCAATGCCAATGAATAGCATTCAACCCTTATTACGTGAATAATTTCAGTCTTAAAATGCCTTACACATATTTAACAGCTATTTGAATACCATTATTCTCATCAATTGTCAAAAACTAATTAGTTTTGGCCTAGATTAGGAGGATTTATCTGTGCAATATACACAGTTAAACATATATGGTATAATGAGGGTTATCTCACAGATGTTCAAAGATAAATAAATATGCATATAAAATACATAATTTATGGAAATTTGGGAGTCATTTAACATAAACAGAGAAATGCTCATTATAAACCTAACAACTTTCATCCTTTTTGTCTCCTCCTCAATTAGAGTTGCACAAGGTTTAACTGACATTTGAGTGGCTGAGAGATTTAAAAGAAATGATAACATGGGCCCATTTACTTCCAAGATTAAAAATACTTAATCATGCTCCTGAATATTTAAAATTTTGAAGCATATTTTCAATATTTAGATTAGTCCTAATGTTCAGAATTTGAAAAACAGTTCTGATAATGCTAGTGTTTCCTATTTGCAAGCAGTTAAGTCATTTACCAATTCCTGGAATGGTTAGCTGGGACCTTAGTATCAGGGACCTTAAACATGGTGACTATATTTTTAGCTCTGAGTCATCAATATTTATTCAGTATCCATGGCAATGGTATTTGTTTTTCCTTTTCAAGATAATTTGAATTGTTTTTTTAACCAGGGAAGCCTGACAGTTGTTAATCAGCATTCAAGGAAAGAATTTTGAAGTAGATTTTTTCCTTTCACTTTATGAAACATTTCATCAAAGTAAACGAGAAATGTTTGTAATTTGAATCAAAATATCAAAGTCCTGTTCTGCAGTATTTTTTTAATAAATCCATAATACCTGCACTCTGTAAAAATACCTTATTTGATAAAATATGATACTTGTATTTTTGTTTGCGTGTTACGGAACTTGTCCTTAGAAGTGGAATTAGTGCTCGTATTTTTTTTTTCAAAAAAATGTTTTCTGTCCAGAAAGGTGTCTTGTGTTATGGGGTAGGATCCACTTCAGCTAATTTTACAAATAAACTTCATTGCAATGAAACTATAATGCATATTTTTTTAAACTTGAAAATAGAGCTTCAAAGATAAGTCCTTGTCTAACCACACTTTTATTTCAGGATGTGTCATCAAATTATTAATACAATATCACACAAAACATGAAATTTCAAGCCGACTTTCTGTAGCTGGCAATAAGCAAATGAGTATTGCCATAGCTTTATACAGAATCGACATGGTACCTGACTTTCTTTTTAAAAATATTTGCTTGAAAATCTTGCATTTAATTTGCTGTCGCCTAAGCTGAAAGTAATTAGGACGAGTGATTTACACGCTAACGATGATGTCCATGGTGACGCTTCTTCCCTGTTGGTCAAGGGGCCGGTCCGACTGCCCAGCCCTAGCTCTTGCAGCGACATGACTAGGGGTCTATGTATGAGCAGTGGGGGCTCAGGCCGACCCCTGTGGAGGTACGCCTGGGTATTTGGCAACTAATCTGGAGGGGAGAAGGCAGGCTGTTTTTGTTTGAACTTTCTTAAAGCTTTGTCAGGAAGCCAGCTAGTGTGTGTGTCTCTCTTTGTGGCTTGCATTCCTGTGTGTGTCGCCAACTGGCCACGTGTTTACCCTGGGATGCCAGGCCATGGGGGAGCCGGGGCCCACTAGGCTGTCACCGGCATTAGATCGGTAGGGAGGCACGTCACCGTGTCATTCCTCCGTCCGGCGCCGCTCCCTCACTTTGATGACGGGGGACAGGCCGCAGTCAATGCTTGGCACACCGTCACAGTCGCCAACCACACCAGCAATTTATTCTACACTCCTACCGTTAAAATGTGTTTCCGTACTCGCAGAATCAGTCTCCATGTATGCTGATCCACATCACTCCCAAATTTGTGCTCAGCCTAAAGTGACTTCTTTCTTGGATATTTCAGGGAACTTTTCGGTTGCTATGGCAACCACGCAACCTTCAAATGCCTCAGAATGGCAGCTATATCGGGTGCTACAGCGGGCAAACCTACTACAGTATTACGACACATTCATAGCGCAAGGTGAGTGGTCGAAACGCTTGTCCGTCAACAATTTGCATATCATTTGCATATCACACTTTCGCCTCCATTCATGTTTGTTTCCTAAGCCTACAGCAAGGGTCAGCAGTTTTTGGGTGTGATTGATTCATATTTTTATTCACATGAATACAAAAGATGGAAATTTTGTTCATCTTTGAATATGATGCCACAACATGTTTCAAGTTCACTTGAAATGACGTCTAGAATCAACAGCCTGAAATTTTGCGAAGGTGCTTTTCTGATATCCTATATACTTTGGCACCAAGAGGCTTAATTCTTTTTCTGAACCAACAACGTCATTGTCAATATTTTAGATCTCTTTTTGTTAAATGAAGAATATTTTGCTGAAATATCATATGTAGACATTCAAATTTGTTACAGTTTAGATTCTGGGATTTCTTACGTAGTACTGCATTAATGTTTTTTCAAAAGCGATACATTCTATTGGTACGTTTCAGCTATGAAACTATGCACGATAAGTGTTTTTCTAAAGTCGCATGATTTCTTTTATCACATTGAAGTTTTAATACCAGGAAATGGCTTTGAATTTACGTAGACAAGGCAAACTGATCAAAAGACAAGCAATGTGGAAAAAAGATCACTTTTTATCCCACAGCATATAATGCGGGGGAAATAGTCAATGCCTCGTCTGTCTGTCCATCTGTCCATCTGTCCGATTGTCTGTAATCATTTTGTTTCAGGCGCACAAATACAAAAAATGTTGTATATTTTTCAACAAAAATTGGCAGATATATCAAACAGATCCTGAAGTGGTGCCTTTTGCTATTTGCCGATTTTTTTGCATTATGATTTTTTATTGATTTCTATGGAAACAATTTGGACTTAGCCTCATAAGGGGATGGTGTATTTCATTTCCAGGGCACAACTTGAAAACCGTGAAAGACTTTTTTCATCCAAACCTGGTACATGTATTAACCAAGGACTGAAGTGGTGTCTTTTGCTATTTAGGAATTTTCAAAATTTGATTTTCTCCTGTTTCCATGGAAACTAGTTTGGTTTTGACTCTGTTCATAGTGTTTGTCCGGACCATATCTCTAAAAATAATAGGTATTCTTTCATGAAACTGTGCACACACAAAGACCAGGTTGTCAACTGGTGCCTTTTGCTATTGAGGGATATTTAGAATTTATATTTTTTCCATTTCCATTTCCATGGCAACAAGTTTGAATTAGACTCTGTTCATATTGGTGTGTACTGACATAGAAATACAAAGTTCCAATCCCAATTCATGGTATTGTTTTGATAGCTCAATAACTACTCATGTATATGGACAGACAGATTAGATAGAAATTATCTCATCAAGTTGGATTTAAAGTAATTTAGTGGGGGCCGGCGGGATTTGTCATCTTCTGATGACTCTTGTTACTTCTAATCTTGATAACAAATAAGTAACGATGTCTCCATTTCACCATTGTAAAGTCGTCAGTGTGTGTTGGGTATGGATAGTGTCTGTTATCGTACATACTTTACATTGCTGGCAGCGTGTGAATGCAGGCCACATTTAGTAAAGATTTTCTATTTCCGCAAATATGCCAAATGTGAAAAAAAAGCCAAGATTGCAAATAATACCAAGATGCAAACATTGATTAATTCTTTGATTTCATTCCTGCCTCCGTAGCTCTGTCCATCCATCTTCAGTCACTTTATTTCCATAAAATGAAAAATAGGTTGAAATTGTAAAGAAGGGGTTTTAAGAAGAACGTCCAATGCCTGAGTTCATTTGGGCTGGAAATGACTTGGCTTCATTGAGTGAGCTGGGAGTTCAGAGAAGATGATTCCACTTTTACCTAGGCATAGCTACAGTTCTTTGTGCTGAGAAGATGTTACAGTATGAAGAGGATACTTTGTTACATCCTATATCAATGTTACACTGGGTCCATGTGAAGCAGTGTTACATTGTGTATATCATGAAGCATTGTTACATTGTGTATATCATGTAGCAGTGTTACATTGTGTATATCACATCAGTGTTAAATTGTGTATATCACATCAGTGTTACATTGTGTATATCATGTAGCAGTGTTACATTGTGTATATCATGTAGCAGTGTTACATTGTGTATATCATGTAGCAGTGTTACATTGTGTATATCATGTAGCAGTGTTACATTGTGTATATTATGTAGCAGTGTTACATTGTGTATATCACATCAGTGTTACATTGTGTATATCATGAAGCAGTGTTACATTGTGTATATCATGTAGCAGTGTTACATTGTGTATATCATGTAGCAGTGTTAAATTGTGTATATCATGTAGGAGTGTTACATTGTCTATATCTTGTAACAATTGTACATTGTGTATATCATGAAGCAAGGTTACATGGTCTATATCTTGTAACGTTGGTACATTGTGTATATCATGAAGCAAGGTTACATGGTCTATATCTTGTAACAATGATACATTGTGTATATCATGAAGCAAGGTTACATGGTCTATATCTTGTAACAATGATACATTGTGTATATCATGAAGCAAGGTTACATGGTCTATATCTTGTAACAATTGTACATTGTGTATATCATGAAGCAAGGTTACATGGTCTATATCTTGTAACAATTGTACATTGTGTATATCATGAAGCAAGGTTACATGGCCTATATCTTGTAACAATAGTACATTGTGTATATCATGAAGCAAGGTTACATGGTCTATATCTTGTAACGTTGATACATTGTCTAGTCATGAAGCAAGGTTACCTTGTCTCTATCTTGTAACATTGGTACATTGTGTATATCATGAAGCAAGGTTACATGGTCTATATCTTGTAACAATGATACATTGTCTATATCATGTAACATTTGTTTCTTGTGTACATCTTGATGTAATGATTCATTGTGTATAACTTAACACAATGTTACAATGGGTGTAACATGAACCAATGTTACTTTTTGTATACAGGGTATCCTATAGAGGGTAAGTCCAACATTTCACCAGTAGAACATGGGGAAACCACACAGGCCTTTGACAGTGATGGATGATGTAGGAGACACGTTGAACTGCTCTTACACCTGCAACCTTTGTTGTGTGACAGTGTCATGATGCATTGCACGCAGTGTCGTCTTACCTTGCAGTGTCAAGAGTCGATAGCGAAGCAGTGTGACATTATCTTGCAACCTCACGATGCACTTTTTTACATAATATTACAAAAGTGTAATATTGCACGTGAACATTGTTACATAAGATAGTTTCAAAGTCAATCATTGCAATCTGTTACAGTGGTACAGTAGAAGAACATTTTAATGGGAAATTGTCATATTTCATCCGACATGAGGGAGGGTTTCATATCAAGGATTGCTGAAGTGTATGTTTCGCAGTAGTTCCCCTGGGACACAAAGAAGCTAATCTGTGGGACCATCTGTGTAAGAATTTATTGATCCAAACTTTATTGTCGGTCCCATGTTCCCATGGAAGTAAGTACCATGATTACTCAGTCCAATTAAAGGAGACTGACAGTTACTTGCGACTTACGATGTCATGCTTGCGACATGGCCAACATGGATTCTGTACACTGATCTGGTCACCGTTTAAATTAAGATTTAGTTATCTTGGCTCCTTGGATCAACAGCATTGCTAATTACGCTTCTGATAATTTTCTTTTTGAGAAATATTAGGAAAAGAGAAATGCTTTTGCTGCAGTGTCAAGAATACAGGATTTATTGTTATATATATTGTACTGCGTACTTCAGAGATCTGCTTGGTTTGGTTGGTTGGTTGTTTAATGCCACACTCAGCAATATTCCAGCTATATCACGGCGGTCTATTAATAATCAAGTCTGGGCCAGACAATCCAGTGGTTGATATCACGAGCATCAATCCACGCAATTAGGATCGATGACATGTTTCAACCAAGTCAGCGAGCCTGACCACCCGATCCCGTTATTCGCCTCTTACGACAAGCATAGTCGCCTTTTACGGCAAGCATGGGTTGCTGAAGACCTATTCTACCCCGGATCTTCACGGGTCTTTAAGATCTGCAATATAGACACTTGAAGCCTAATCAGTTGCTGTGACCCTACATGGACTTGATGATCATGATAAGGTTTAATTGATTGAGTGGTTTGCATTTCGGCTGTAAGCATGTAAAATGATTTCAGTGTAAAGTGTTTATTGGTTAACAGTAACTTTTAACAGTCTTTTTCGCAGTTGTTTGAATCCTCCAACTTTTAAACACTTTAAAACGTTGCTGAAAGATTGATTTGTTTGTTGTGCTCTGGTGAACATGAGTGAAGTGATAATCACAGATGCTTGTAGGTTTTCTCCTCCATGTTTTTAATTTTCGGTAAATCTAGATTTGCAAAAATGGTTCCAAGCAATGGAGTATAAATGTCTTCTTGATTTCGTACACGGTATGAGCATGGCATCAACATTACCATTCAAAGAAGGAAAAAACAATCCATATCTGAAATATTACTTTCCTTTTTTGACATTTGTAAGCACCGTACCATGCTGATGGTTGCTCCAGAGCGAAAACCTGCTGTATCTGGGGCCTGCCTCCTACAACAAGCTGATGCACCAGGAAATAACTGAGGCAACACTTTTTAAGTGTTTGCAAATTCAGAAAATAAGATAATACTCTTCAAATATATTTTAATATCCGAGACTCCACCAACTGTTGGTTATATAAATGAAATTCTACAACTACAAAAATCATACAAACTATCAACTATTTAAACATGGATTGATCAAATGTATTGTATGTAGTCTTTGGCCAATTCAATTCACCTATAAAGTGAGAGCCTTCTTAGAAGTATATATTTACTCCTGAGAAGGCTCTGTTCGCTTTACATGAGAAAAATGAATAGGTATATAGTTATATATAGCAGTTGAAGAACAGAAGTTTGCTGCATAAACTGCTACTTTTGTAAAGTCCAGTTCAGTTCCGTCTTGCGGGTTCATCGGGGAAGAGTTGCCACTTGGAAAGTTGGAAGATTCTGGATTGAAAAATGTATATTGCAATGA